TTTATTTCTGAAATGTATTGTTTTGAACTGTGGTAATCATATTATGTATTACTCCCATTAATTCTCTGTCAATTATTTAATGTATTGGAAGTGGAGACATACTTGCTAGGGGCTAAAATCAAGTATTTTATGATACAAAACAAAGAAGATTAGCTATTTAAAACACACCCAACCTGCTTTACATTATTCATCATTTGTTTTATGGAGTTAGAGTTGCAGGTGTGACCACACACTACAAAGCAATGCGGTAAATCAACACCTCCTGTAGTTCTAAAGCACAGATCAAAAACTTTTCAGGGGCCAAATTTCACTGTGTACTTTCATACTATTATTTGGGCACCCTCTCAGATTTTAAAATTATTCAAAATCTGACATCTGAGATTTTTGCCTTGCTGAAAAAAAATACAAATGATACTGCTGATCTATGGATATTGTGCATGCCATATTCCTAATGCCTGATCTAAAGGTCCTCCCTTTTTCCATGCTGTGCACCGAGCCTTTTGATTGCTGTGAATTTTCAGTGCAATAGATATTCAGTAACAGAAGCAAAGGAGAAATCTCCAACAGTACTGCTCAAATTGTAGAAAATTCTGTCCTTGAATGACCTTTTGAGCCTGACCTGGCTATACTGGAGCAACAGTACTTTAAATATCCAGGAATAAGTGAAAAGTAGTTCCTTGTTCTTGCAAAGCTCAGTGGTGTCATGTTGTTGTTGTTCAGTCGTTAAGTCGTGTCCGACTCTTCGTGACCCCATGAACCATATTGTGCCAGGCCTTCCTGTCCTTCACTGCCTCCCTGAGTTTGCTCAGTTTCATGCTCATTGCTTCAGTTCAGCTATCTAACCATCTCATCCTCCGCCGGCCTCTTCTCCTTTTGCCTTCAATCTTTCCCAGCATCAGGGTCTTTCCCAGCATCAGTGGTGTCATGGTTATCATTTAATTCCCAGTAATTAGGATAGGTGGTCATAACTATTTCACCATCATAAACAAAGCTCTCTTACTTTATCTAAGTTCATCAAAACTAATTTTCCTGGGGCTTCTGCTGTGAGTCATGGCTCACTGAAGATGTCTCCACAAATGAGCAGAGAAGATGACTGTTGTGTAGAAAGAAAGACCAGCAATTTCAGAGCATAAATTTTCAGATGATGATGAGAAAAAATTCAAAAAACTTTTACCTGATAAAGACATTATAGAGTTTGAAGGCATAGAAGACAACAAAACTGAGATCACCAAAATGGGAATTCAAAAGACAAATAATAGAATCATAGGGTTGGAAGGGATTTTGGAGGTCTTCTAGTCCAACTCCCTGCCCAAGGCAGGAGTCCTCATACCATTTTGGACAAATGGTTGTCCAATCTTTTCTTGAAAACCTCCAGTGATGGAGCACCCACAACTC